AGACTAGTTTAGAGACTTTTTGGCTGCTCATTTGTCGTTCAGCTGCCCGTCATGCTTTTTAAATTGCTCATAATGTGGCGTCTATTCTACAAAACATCTTCAACAATAACTATTTGTTGTAAATCTGTAATCTCAAACCCTAAATACGCCCAGCAGGGACCATTTGTCTGCACCACAATGGGTACGTTTTCGTACTTTTCATGCGTTTGCTGTTGGTGGGTGTTAAACAGTCGCCTTGGGCCACTTCTGATTTGCTAGCGTGACCGACACCCAAACACAGTGACGTGAATTTGTAAAAAGACAGTTTAAAGCTCAGCTCAGACGCGCTGAATATCTTCAATAGCAGCCTCAGTGATTTGCTAAATGCACTGTTTGAAATACTAACTTTGATATAATTTATTAAGTGTTGAGCCTAAATAACAAGATGCAAAGACACACAGCGTCCTACCGTTTGGCTCCACCTGCATCCGGAGACACGATGATACAGTTTTTCCACTCGGGAATGTTTTCCTTGATCCACTGCAGAACAGCGGGCTCTGCATACAGGTTGTCTACCGCAATGTCAAAGAAACCCTGAGAAAAACAAAAACGCCACAGGAAAAGTTGCACATGAACAACAGATAACGGAATACATTTCAGCTCTAAACGAAGGTCGGCTCAGGAATTACAGACACGGAGCAAAAAAATTCTCCTTTTGCAACGATATGAGGGGACACACTTTAGCCAGTTTGTCTTTTTGAAAACAAAACGTGATAAAAACCAAGTAAGTGATGAAACAGAGGCTGTACGCTTGCTGTTTATTTGACTTCTCTTTAAATCTTTTCATCCTTATTTAAAATTTCTCTTGTTGCCAGTGTTTACTGTCATAAACATCACGTCAAATTCAATGTATGTTAAAAACCCACTGAGCAATTAAACCAGTTTTCTTTCCTTCCATTGCTGTTATTTCACCAGACAACCAGCATAAATTACTGTGTTTGGCTAACAAATGATCCAGCATCCGTTCATGGCAAATTTAACAGTCTGACACAAACAAGATGGAACTCATTTGTGTGATTTGATTCTTGTGCGAGTCTTTATGTTGAGCTAAGCTAACCGGCTGCAGGCTCCAGATACATATTTAACAGAAAGACATCAAGTGGAAACTCTATATTTACAAGGCAGTAGGAGTGATAAGAGGGCTGGCCACTGACCTGGATCTGTGAGGCGTGGAGGTCCATGGTGATGATGTGGTCGGCGCCGGCCACAGACAACATGTTGGCCACCAGTTTGGCTGATATGGGCGCTCGACTCTGCAGAAAACACCAGGACACAGCAGCTTCAGATGAGTCGATTTGGGACTTTTCCCCTGATCACTGATGGGTTTACAATCCTGCTGCATCGAGTGGTTTTAGACGGCTTGTTTTCCTCTTTATTATTTATAAAACTGGTGTAACCTGGCTTTAAATAAACGTGTGCTTCTAGTATGTATACGTATTAGAAGGAAGTTGTTACGGGGGCTGACTCCAGGCTGCTCTTGTTAAAGTAGGCAGCTCCGACCTACTCAGGACTTCACCTGCGACCTTTCCATTACTCTGTGAAAGTAGCTGCAGCTCCAGGCCTGTGCTGCTCAGTTGATGCATTCACTCAAGAAAAGCCCACGTGAGCCCACTACCCATCACCGACCCCCTACGTGCACATTTGCTACCACATTAGTGTAGAGTAGAGTCGTATATATGTTGAAAAATACATTTTAATAACCGTCTGAGTCGGCAGATTTGAAAGCCCTGTTAGTATAAAAACCATCAAAATGACACCATTGATCAAAACCAGGAGCTAGAATTCAACGGCTGTGTTTACACGGTGCAGACAGGAGTAATAATAAAGTCTAGACACAAATTATAAATGTAGGTGGTGAAATATTCACAGGATGGAGAAGCCACGATTCCCTTTTTGCTAATGTTGGTCACTGCTGGAGAAAAGCTGTACACGTTCCAGGGTTTCCATATTTAGTCAAATAAATGTCTTAAAAAGTGGAATTTATCGCATTAACTACACTAATAACTATGTCCGGTGGTGCAGGACTTCGTATTGCCTCTGATAAACGAGATAACGGTGAGTAAAAATGTGATAAGAGCAAAAAAAAACCAGCTGGTGACTCTCAGGAGAACATTTCCACGTGTGTTATATCATATGATGCATTTGAGGAGTCTGGAGCCTTGAGCTGTGTTTGTGTTCACAGAAAATTCAAAGTTTGGGAATTCATGACAACTGCATGCTGCATGGATCAGAGTGAACTAGTTAACGAGACTTCTGGTGTCGATTAGATTAATTATCCGAATCGTTTTTCCTGCTTGAAAAAAAGTATACGAGCATAAAACAAGTTTGAGCAGTGTACAATATTTAAAATGAGACATGCTCATAATTAATTAGTTAATTTTCCTGACAGAACCACGTGTCTCACATGATCAGTTTAAGGACCACACGACATCCAAAAATCCTGCTTCTGTGACACTTTCTGGTTCTGATTAATGATGCAGCTGTAGTGATTTTTAAGGATAACGCACCGTTCAAAGCTGCAGACGGTTAATATATTTCAAACTAATTTACATTTTGAGACTATACGCTCTTTAACGGTTAAATATTAGTGTTGTAAAGCGTGAACTGGATTTAAATTTGTCAAGTATTACAACTGTAAAGAGCCTGAGAGTGAAATCTTTGTCTTGTAGATGAGGTACAAAAGTGTTTGCAGAGCTCTGACCCTCCAACGTCTCACCTTCATGTGAGCAAAATGAGATTAAACAGAGTTTGAAGGAAAAAAGGAGGAAGATAATGAGCAATTTGCTGGAAAACTCTCTCTCCCTCTCTGCGCTAACTAGCCGCCTCTTCTTGGTGTCGTAGCAGCACGAACAACTGAGGTAATGATTTACGAGATCAGAAGCCTCCAAACTGCTGCTCGTAACCTCGTGACGTCTTCTCATTAATACATCACCGTGAATGAGTTGAGCTGCAGTGCCAGAGGAAAATAGAAACAGTCTGAGGTGCAGATTTCTTTTGGGAACTTTTCCTATGCAGACATATTCAGATTTAGTATTTGTTTACAGCAGCCTCCATTTATTGGAGCCCACAGCGGGGTTTAGAGTTTATGCTTTATCTAGAGCAGAGTATGCATAAGATAAGTGGGTCGTATCTGAAGTTTATTCTCTTGATTTAAGTGTTTTGTGTACAAAGATGCTGCCCTGTGAGCGGTGTGTACCTTGTCCTTCTTGTCCTGCCGGGCGTAGGGGAAGCAGGGGATGACGGCGGTGACGCGGGACGAGGAGGCGATCTTGCAGGCGTTAATCATGATTAGCAGCTCCATTAGGTTGTCGTTTATTTCGCCGCAGCCGCTCTGCACGATGTACACGTCCTCGCCACGCACGCTCTCCCCGATCTCCACGCTGTTGAGGGAAATAAACAAAGGATGGACAGGAACGCACCGGCCTCAGTGTGAGACGGACATTTTAAGATCATTTCTGTGACACTTCTGAGCTGTAATCGTTCCTGTTAGCATAATTAACCGACTAAGCATGACTTGGACACATGTAGAGATGACTGAACAGGCCTCAGGGGTCACAGCTTTCAAATAAAGGGACTGATGTACAACATAAAATACTTCAGTAAAAAGATTACAACAAGAAAACAGACAGAAATGCTAATATTTCTTGTTCATCAAAAGCTCAGCAAAAGAACGACAGAGAGATGCAAAAACAACCACAGAAAAACACAAAACTACCACAAAGAGATGCAAAGCAACCACATAGACAACAAAGCAGCACCAAACAACAACTACAGAGACACAACAAGACAAAACACGCAGAACAACAACACCAAAGACCACAAAGAGACTCAAAATAGCCAGAAAACAACCACAAAAAACACAAAACAACCACAAAGAAACATACATCTATCCGCAAAATGACTACAAAGACACAAAACACCCACAAATAGAGAGCAAATTATAACATAGAGGAACAAAACAACCACCAAACGACACAAAATGACCAAAAAAAGACACAAAACAATCACAAAGAAACCAATGACATACGTAGAACAACCACGAGACACAAAACAAGGACACTAAAGAAACATCACAAGGAGATACACGACCACAAACACTCACAACAACTACAAAAAGACAAAAAACTACCTCAAAGGAACAACATAACCAACATAAATCAATGACAGAGACTTAAAACCATCACAAAAAGACACAACATGACCACAGAGAGACAAAAAATGACCACAACAAGATTCAAAATGACCACAAAGACATCAAACTATCAGAAAACAACAAAGACCTGGAGGTCCTACATGGTGTCCTCACTGTCTGGATCCATGTTAGTCTGAGTTAAATGTTCAAATTCAACTTGTCCATGATGGCTTCATGAGCTTCCCAGCTGCTGTTTCTCCACATTCCAACTATCTGTGTGTGCAGCAGGCAAGAAGGAAGACAGAACTTTTGAGGGCATGAATTTGACGCACTTGCAGATTCAGCGTATTACAAAAGCTCTGCATTCATGAGCGCTGAGTGTTCGCCCACATTCACACTAAACCCGTACGTGACGAAGCTTCAAGGTTAACAGGCAAGTTTGGGCCGAGTCTCTTCGCTCATCGAGGGGGAAAAAAAAAAGCAGCACAAACGGTGTGAGCCAGAGCGCTCCGGCCTGCAGCATGTGTGTGAAACATTCCTGTGTGGGAGATGACCAGGTCCTCCCGGCTGCACTCATGTGATCTCATGTACCGTTGTCCGGGGTGAGAGTCGGGGCTGCGCCGGCGGTCACAAGGCCTCACGTTTGTTTTCACAAAGGCTCTGAAATCCCTTTTTCCTAAAGGCGGCTGAGGAAGGCTGCGTTGTACAAAGCGCTATGAGGGCGAGAGGTTCAACAGGAAGATGTTTTGTTTTTAACATTTGATTCCAAGTGACGTTAAATCACAAAGGCTGTAGTTTAGGATGTATGCAAATGATCTGCCCCAGGGTTTAAACTGTCAGGTCAGGAAGGTTTGTGTGTCACCGTTCTGATGTCATCTCGTGTAGTAACGCTCGATTTAAATCTATTACGCAGCAAATATTGAGCTGAAAAATCACAATAAATATGAAGGAGTGTCTATGAATCAGCAGAATAAAGCTTAATAACTACTGGTTAGGGCTGTAAAATACTATTACTATGAGGAAATACAGGGATTTGAAGAACTATTGAGACAGATTTCATCCCTCTGGAGTGACTACGGTGGTTTTGTAGGTGACCACGTGTGAAAATATGGTCGTCCAGAATAGGTTTTTGCTTCGGGCGATGATTAGATCTGCTTTGCACTTGTTACTCCAAGCTTTGAGCTGCTCACTTAAATAGTCAAACACATTAGTTGTGTTGTGACAACAACTGCAAGACAGACAGCCTGTTTGGATCAACGTCGCCCTCTCTGGAGCCCAGATATTTCCATACAACTGATGTCTTTTTGCAACCAAAACTTCCTCCTCAGAGTTCCTCTCCTGCTCCTTGTTTTGCTTTTTTTAAGTTGTGCAACAAACTCAAGAGAAAACAACTCAGTTAAAATAAAACCTGTTCGATCAGAGAGGCATTCCTTTATAGATTTAGTCATGAAAATTGAGAAGTGCAACAGTTTTCTTTCCGTCAAGCAGGAAAAACATGTCGCAGCACGATGTGTCTGAGTTAAACTCGTCTTACGTCACATCTCAGGTCCTGCAGTAAAACTATCAGGCACTTTTTAAAAAAAATTTAACTGCCAAAATTACACCATTTATCAGAGCCAGAGAGTGTCAAACAGAAAGAATCTTTGGATTTTTAACTTTGCTTGAAGTCCTCATTTGTGGTGCGACGTTAAGGTAAAACAATTTGGTGATGCAATCGTGATAATTCCTCACAATTACTTCATTATACGCGTCTCATTTTTTAAAAAAAAACCACCAGAGATAAACTGTTCATCCATCCATCCATTATCTATACACCGCTTAATCCTTACCAGGGTCGTGGGGGGCTGGAGTCTATCCCAGCTGACTCAGGGTGAAGGCAGGTTCACCTGGACAGGTCACCAGTCTATCACAGGGCTACACTTAGAGACAGACAACCAAGCACACTCACATTCACACCTACGGACAATTTAGAATCACCAATTAACCTCAGCATGTTTTTGGACCGTGTGGGAGGAAGCCGGAGAGAACCCACGCTGCATGAGGAGAACATGGAGACTCCACGCAGAAAGATCCCAGCTGTCATGAACCAGCGACCTTCTTGCTGCGAGGCAACGATGCTAACCACTGAGCCACCTTGCTCCTCAGTGCAACAAGAAAGTCTTTCGTGAACCAACATGACAAAAATTGGCATAAATTCAGGGTCTTGTCGGCTGAACTGTTTCCACAGAGCATGTTGGAGACAAGTACGGAAACTAACTCAACATGTAAGCTTTAAATTATCTATAATATCTCGAGCCATCATTTTTATTCCAGTATTTGTAACTGCTCCAGGAATTTGAAAATGTTGACTCCAGATTTTGTTAATTTACTCGAAAATATTCCATCAAAATAAAGCAACTTTCATTTTCTTTATCATAATTTATTGTGTCAGACTTAATGATAACTCAACCTTCTCCTGTACACGTTCCCGGGTCGTCGTAAATCAGTATCAAGATCATTTATACGACTGTATGAGTGAGGATCAGCTGTTTACTTTTGTCTCATGACACTTAATTAACGTTATCTGCTCTCCTCCGTTTCATGTGATTGCAAATATCTTTGGAATTTGGACGCAGAGACAAGCAATCTGAAGAGGTCACCTGAGGCCTTCACAAATATTGATCGGCACTGTTCATTCCTTTTCGTTATCTTTTAATAAATAGTCGAGCTTCATCGGCATGCAGCCAAGCCAAAAGAAATGTGAATTTTTACAGCAAAAACATTTGAAAGAAGGCGTGAAGTGTATGTTTAGGCATCCAGGATGGACGGCCAACTCCAGCTTGTGCAAAACATTTCCTGCCACACGTGCTAAAATTAAAACAGCAGTGAATGTGGCACAACAGGAGAAAACTGCATATTTTCTCGCTGTTTACGTGAAGCAGTCATCAGTTTTTGACCAACGTGATGAGTTTGGATTGTTACCCCGCAGTCCAGCATCTGTAAAATAAGACATCCAGTCATTTAGTTCCCAGGACTCCCTCTGCTTGGTCCTTGACCTCAGCGAGTCACCTGGTAAAACCTGTGAGAGGAGCCGCGATCGCCTCCCCGTCAGTGTGAGAGGATGAGAAAAATAATCTCTGTTTTGCTCTTTGTGTCGCGCAAACAGCTGCGTTCCCTAGAGAGAAAACTCGCCGCGGATAATCAGAGTTTTCCCTGGATTTTCAGAGTTGTGGGTGGAAACAGCACCGAGCAGAAAGGGTCTTATAAAAGGGATAAAGGGGTCTAGACACTTTTACAAGCAGCGATGGTAAAAGGAAGATTAAAAAAGAGAGAGAGAGAGAGAGAGAGAAGGCTTTTATCCACAGTGCATTACAGTGAAAGCATCGGTGAGCGACCCCAGCAGGAATAAAATCCAACTCTAACAACGGTAATGCCGCTGAGCCGCCGGATCTCGATTGCTTCTTACGACCGACACCACAAAGAACAACTCAGAACGGAGCCGCGAACGCTGCTACACTCACGGCTGTGGGGGGACTAACACGGCGGTGTTGAGTTCAGGTCGACACAGTCACACAAACGGGCCACAGCAAGAAGCCAAAAGGTCAAGCTGAACCGACTGCTCAAGGCCGGGCTGCGACAGAAGCAGTAAAAGCAATAAAGGAGGGCAGCTGTGAGCATCCAGCTGATGGTCAATCAGCTCGGCCGCTTTGGAAATGAGCCCAAATGAAATGCATGTGATTTAAGCTCCTCGACAAGACAGGCAGTATTGAGAGTATTTCTATTTAACTGGAAGGCTTCTGCAAGTTATTCTCCTCAAAAAAAAACAACTATACTTGACATTTAATAATACGCCTGACTGCTGTGTTTGAGGTTTATAGTTTACCCTCCAGCTCTGTCTGGTGTTTGCAAATGAGCCACATGTGATTACAAGGAAATGCAAAAAACCTGTTAAATGACTGCAGGCGAACCAGCATCCAGTTACAAACGCACACTTCTCCCCGGAGCACTTCGACAACAGGGATTAATCCGGTGTGGGTTGGTTTTTCAATTTCCAAAACAACACCATTTATGAGAGCTAGTAAACGTGACAAGAAGAGGAATTGCCTGATTTTTATGACAAATTCCCGACGCAAAAAGCGCCCACAATCGAAAACACAAGTTTGATCATTTTATTCGATTACGTTTTTGTTTCCGGTTTTGGCCATCATTTCATTTAAGGAGATGTTACATCAAGCTCAAACTAACCGTCCATTTTCATTTCAACAGCAGTGGCTTTCGAGTTAATAGTCGACTTGTAAATTAGAGTTTTAAGGTAATAAACACACAAAACACATTCACAAAGAGGACAAAAACAACCAAACAGCCAAAGACACAAACTAGTCAGAGACGCAAACCGACCACAAAGACAGAAAACAACCAAAATGAAGACACAAAACTACCAAAGAGACAAAACAGCCACATACATTAAGACACAAAGACACTCAAAGTTGCAAAGATGATCCAAAATAACCACAAAGAGACAAAAAACAACCACAAACAGACACAAAACAACCACAAACAGACACAAAACAACCACAAAGAGACAGAAAAGAATCAGAAAGAGACATAAAACAGCTACAAGAGACTCAGAACAACTGCAAACAGACAGAAAACAACCACACAGAGACACAAAACAATCAGAAAGAGACACAAAACAGCCACAAAATCACATCAGAGACCAAAAAACAGCCACAAGACACACAAAACAACCACAAAACAGCCAAAGACACAAAATAGTCAGAATCACCAGCCAACCACAAAGACAGAAAACAACCAAAAAGACACAAAACTCTCACAAACAGACAAAAACAACCACAAAGAGACACAAAACAATCAGAAGGAGACACAAAACAGTTATGAGAGACTCAGAACAACCACAAACACACGAAACTGCCACACAGCCACCACAAAAGAGACAAAAACAGTCACAGGGCCACACAAAACAACCACAAGGACAGAAAACAGTCACACAATGACAACAAGACACCCAACAGCCACAAAGACACAAAACTGCTGAGAGCAAATCAGTGTCCATCCGGGTACTTTGGTGTTGTGTCAGATTTCGTCCACCTGTAACAATCTGTTCCCACGTCAAAAGCAGCAGTTTTAACTGGAGTTTAAAGTGACAGGCACAAGACTGCTAGAAAAACACACAAAACAACCAGAAAGAGACAAAAAAAAAAAAAAAAAACAGCCATAAAGAGAGACGAAACGGACCAGATGGGAAGACAGTGACAGGCCAGGTATTAAGGTGTCACGTCAAATTTGGTACACCCCGAATAATCCGTTCCAACTTCAAAACTAGCTGCTTTCTAGCTAACCGGGACACTAAAACTGGGGTTGAAAACAAAAAACCTATTGTTTCTCGTGGTTTACAGTTTGTATTTTACAGTTTTAGGTGAAGATAAAGGGCACTGGGTTAGAGTTGGGAGCTCAGGTACAAAATGTGACCTCCTCCGTAATCAGCCGTAACACGGGAAGCAGACGTTAGCCGGGTTAGCATGATACGCAACGAACACAATATAACGTTACGTAATTTCACGGCGACTCCGGCTCGTTTTAGCTGCACACAAACCACACGGAGACGTCGTTTTAAAAAACTCAAATTCACTAACTCGAAGCTAATTCGGCCAACCCCGCTGTCCGATAAAGGAAGCAGTGGTGTTAGCTTGCTAGCCCGCTGTGTTTACATGTGGCTAGCTAGTCACGTGTAGCCGTTACGGCGCTTGTAACTATTGTTAGCTTCGAGCTAACTAACCCACATGGGGTGAAGCAACGCGAGCAGCCAGCGAAGCACGCTTCTGGCGCTTTAAACGTGCACATTTACACAAGCAGCAGGGCAACAAGCGACGTGTTCGCAGCGAACGTGTACTCGCCATGTCTCCTGGTTGCTGAATTTCTTCGTGATGACTTTGCCCAGCTCCAGCCCCAGCCGATCAGCCACTTTCTGGGACAGGTCGTGGTGCGAGCTCCCGCTAAAAAGCACGATGTTCGGCATGTCCGTAGAGCCGCTGCAGCTTCGCTCGACGAAACAGGAGGAAGAAGAGTAGCGAAGGTGCGAAGGGGTCTCCCCGGCGGAGGGTAACGAAGAGGGAAAACGAGGTTGCTAGTGTTGCAGCCTGGGCATCGCAGTGTGCAGCAGCGGGGACCGAAGGCAGAGAGGAGCGATCCGGTCAGTGTTTGCAGCTAGAGGGAAGTGGCTGCTCCTCATTGGACAGACTCGTCTCAGACAGGAACTGTGCTCCTGCTGGAGTCTGACTTATGAGCCAAACTGTGTCACAGCTCCTCCAAAGCTCATCTTTACTAATGTTTTAGTGTCTCATGTCAGAGGATGAGTTCATATGGAGTTGTGTAACCTTTAGAATAAAGTTTATTATTATATTGATGCTGTGTGAGAATCTTATAGCAGCAAAAAGAATGTGAAATAAATCAACCACAGAAATACACAAACACTATAGACACAGAATAAAACCCACAAAACAACCATATAGAGATTTAAGTCTCTTTGCGGCTGTTTTTGTGATTTTTATGTGTCTTTGTGGTTGTCAATACCATTTTAAAACTGCCACAAAGACACAAAATAAACCACAAAGACTTAAAACTGCCATGGAGATACACAACGACCACAAGCACACTAAAAATCGCCACAAAGAGACACAATATAAACCACAAAGACACTCAAAACAACCTCAAAGACTAAAAATCACCACAAAGAGACCCAAAAACAACCCCAGAGACACAAAATAAACCACAGACACACAACAATCAGACACAGAACAACCACAAATAGACACAAAAAGCAACAAAAGGAACAAAAAATTACCACAAGGACGCTCAAACTAACCACAGATAGATCACAAATAGACCCAAAATAACCACAAGGCAAAAAACAACCACACAAAAACCACCACAAAGACACAAAACAGCTGCAAAGAGACTTAAAACTGCAACGGTGATACACACAACAACCATGAAGACACATAAAAACCCCAAAGTCACCAAAATGAACCACAAAGAGACTTAAAACTGCCACGAAGATACACACAACGACCTAAAAGACACTAAAAATCACCACAAATAGACTCGAAACAAACCAGGGACACAAAAAAACCCCAAAGTCACCAAAATGAACCACAAAGAGACTTAAAACCACCACAGAGATACACACAACAACCATAAAGACACTAAAAATTGCCACAAAGAGACACAAAACAACCACAGGGATACAAAATAAACCACAGACACACAACAATCAGACACAAAACAACCACAAAAAGCAACAAACTAACCACAGATAGACCACAAATAGACTCAAAATAACCACAAAGACACACAACAACACCAAAGTCACCAAAACAAACCACAGAGATGCTTAAAACTGCCATAGAGACACACACAACCACAAAGACACTAATAATCACCACAAAACAACCACAGACACACAACAATCAGACACAAGATGCAGCAACGGAACAAAAATTTACCACAAATACACTCAAAATAAGACACAAAGCAGCAATAATCATTCTAACAGATGCCATCTGTCCCTTTAAAAGTGTTCCATCCATTAAATTATTAATTTCTCATTTTCCTTTTATGCACATTGTCTTTCTTCTTCTAATTATTCTTTTATGGAAAACAGATGCACTGATTCCTGCTTATAAAAACAATATTTGCAGGCTTTTAGTTTCTTTTTATTGATAATAAACTGTGAAATCAGCTGTTTCAACATGTTAACTTGAGGTTTAGGAGATAAAACATGAAGATTTTTTTACTATTTGGTGGCTTTTTACAGGCCAGATACTGGAACTAATTGTCGCAGCAGCTCTGTGGTTTAGCGACCACCTGATAACTGCTGCGTGGAATCCAGACAGCACGCTTGTGATGCCGGCTTTTCTAATTAGATTTTCCACTCAGAGGCGAGTCATCTGAGACCCGATGCCTCGAGTCGTGCCTCCTTCATTTCCAGCTGCGACACGCTCTCTGCCGTCATGTGCCGGGCAGCAAAAAAAACTGTCAGAAACTGTAGCGATGGGGAGGATTCCTCCAAGTATTGATTATTTAGATAAAACAGGACTTTGAGTTTCTGATAAAAAGCAGATAAAACCTCAAATCCATCCCAGTCGTGACCTTTGAGCAACAAAGACGACAGCAGACGCTTGTATTTTTCAGAAATATATTTTATAGATGATGTCAGAGATGAAATGTCCAAAGCGTAGGTCCCAAAGAAAGATAACATTTTTCATCAATAGAGACAAACAACAAACAAAAAATAACTTTTTTTTTTTTTTAAATCCATTTACATGTAAACCAAGAATTGCTCTTGAGCCACAGTGGTTATATATATAGAACTGGCCGAGGTGGGTGTGACAATCAAAACGACGATGCCCTTTTTTTGTTTTTTCCAAACCGTCATTTCTCTACCGCAGCGTCTGAAAATCTTTGAAAGAGGAACATTCTTTGGGAAGAGTCTGGTTTTGTTGTTGTTAAGGTGTGAATGTAGCAGAGGTTTGGCAGAGCACGTTTCTCTTAAACACAGTCCGTTAAGTGCTGAATCGTGTTAAAATTCAAATATTCAAAAGGAGCGATATCAAATGTTTCCCAGCGGAGTCATTTGGACAAAGTCTTTTGAATTGTTTTGCCCACCAGAGAGGAAGAGGAACCGTCCCCGCCTGGGAGGTTTCGCTTTTAAGTCCTCCAGTGTTCTTCTTCTATTGTGCAAATACATTTTTTATTTATTTTTTTTGTTACATAGACAAGCAGGCATGCTGACTCACAAACCATGCAAAGAGTTAAAGTTGGCGCGAGCAGACGGCTAAAAAAAAAAAAAAAAAAGAAAGTAGTATTAAAGTTTTTCTACAAAAAAAAAAATCTCAAATTCACCTTTTTCAAAAAATAAAAAAAGCCAAATTAAACAACAAGTGGAATGTTTTGTTAGATGTGAAAAAAAAAGAAATGATATAAAAAAAAAAAAGAAGATGATAGTTCAAGGGTTAATCTGAATGATGTACTCGTAGCGGCGGGAAAAGAGAAGACCGGAGCGCCGACGTGAAAGATTTTTAAAGTTTTCCATCTTTTCCAGACACCGGCGTCGCCTCCTTGTCTTTTCCCGCCACACGCAAAAAGAGAAAAAAAACCTCAGCTAGCTACATAAAACGGCCTCTAAACCTCTTTATGGATGCGTGATGCTGTCACAGTCGAAAGGTAAGTGCATATCACCCATGCACAAGAGGAAAATGTTATCGATTAGGCAACAAAGTGATCGAATGTCTCACTCTGAAAGGTGTTCAAAAGTCAATTGCAGTGCCGTGTAATGATCACTCGAGGGCAACAGTGCAGTCGATGACGAGTTAAATATGCTGCTTTTTTTTTTTTTTAAGTTCATGGAGTAATATCATACACCATACTGTTTTTTTTCTTTTTCTTTTTTGCTCACAATATCATAGCTGTCATTAGTTAGAGTACATTTATAAATTTTCCATATACAAATCTCCTATAAACAGTACATGTTATAAATACATAATCGATGAAAATGCAGAAAGGCTTAGGGAGCCGTAGAAAGAAAGAAAGAAAGAAAGAAAGAAAGAAAGAAAGAAAGAAAGAAAGAAAGAAAGAAAGAAAGAAGTGTCGCTCCTTACTTTTGATAAATACAAGAAAGAAATAGTTCTAAGTGTGTGTGAATGGCAGCCCTATAACTATCCAGAAAACGGATAAAAAACACAGAACAAAATCTATGGATGAAAAAAAAAAAAGTTAGAAAAATAATCTTATACAATAAAAAATAAAAAGTGGACACGCTTACCGAACACGCTTGTTTTTTTTTTGTTGTTTTCTTTTTTTGATAAATCGACAACTCGATGTGGAAATCATACATGTAGATACAAACGGACAATACTCGATTACCGCCTCTCAAAATATATTCAATTCAAATATACATGACCAACGCTTCGGCTCACACTAGTAACCAAGGTAGTTGCCAACCGGCTGAAGCGCGGGAGCTCGATCAGCGCGCGGAAAAAAAGAAATGACCTCAACCTGACCTTTGCGAAAGGATCAAAATCAGTAAACATTGAACTGGGGTATTGGGAGCCTCGTCCGAAAGGGCCAATACGAGAAATGTCTGCCAGCTAAGTGGAGTGAAACTGTAAATGCAAACTCATGCTTTGGCTTTTCTTGCTTGGCTTTCTCTTTTGGATAACATTCAAGAATCTTGCAAAAAAAGAAAAAAAAAAAAGAAAAAAACCACATCCGGTCTCTCTGCTCATGCTTCATGTGTTTTACAAAGCGATGACTTCGATTAAAGGGAAGCTACATAAAAGGCTAATCCTTTTCTTCTTTTTTTTTTTTGTCCCGAATTCCTTGTTTGAAAGTCTCCACGTTTGCACCCCCCTTTATCCCTCGACTGAAGCTGGCAACTACCTTTAACAAATCCTTTTTTTGTGTTTGTTTTTTACAGAAAAATAGATCCATCCAAAAAAAGTAAAGTAACTCTTCAAGAGAGGCCGTGAGAGACATAAACGTTGTCGTCGTCACGTTTCCAAGTAAACATGCTGAAAGATTGTTTGCTTTATTTTTTTGTCATTCTCCATCTCCTCCCGTCTCCCTCCCTCGCACCTCGGCGGGGAAAAAAATCTTGAAACTTAAGGCAATCTTTTCCTGAACAATCCTGAAATCCAGCGGACCCTCACCAAGGCACTCCTCTACACTCGTCAACCTTCAGACGACAGGCTGGTTCCAGCGAGGTGACAGTCTCACCGTCAAACCTTTTTTTTTTGTGTGTGTTTTTAAAGCCGACTCAAACTTCGGCTCGTCAAAGTCCACAGTGAACGCATCTTGTAAAATAGTATCGCGATGCCCACCCCGTTTCTGTCGGGAAAAACAGTTAAGAAAAGAGAAAAGAAAGCCGCCGAGCTGCTGAGGAGCAGCCGGAGACGTCTGCTGTCCCTGGTGTCCGTTCGGTTTGAGGGCAGCTGCGTAAAGCACCGTATGTTTCTGCACTCGTTCCTGTGACGAGACCCTCCAAACGCCCCCGCTGCACCGGGTCCGGTGGCTAACGTGGGGGGAAGTGGGGCGGCGAAGGCCGACAGAAAAAATGAGTGTCTCTGAGCTGAGTGCTGCCAAGCGACGCCGTTAGGTTGAGTTTAGTTTATTCCCCCCGATTCAGTCCTCTGTCTTCTGATTGGCTCCCTGCTCCGAGGCCGAGCCCACCCTCCCCCCCGTCTCTCCCCCTCGATTTGGCCGAGGGGCCGCCAATCAAGGTGACGGACGCGGTGGGTGGGGTGAGGGGGACTAAATGAAGGGATCAGTCGAGGCTCTTCGCTGCTCAAAGAGGCGTTTCTCCGGAGAGGTCGGTGGTAACACGGTGACTCCCTCACGTCTCCCTCCGTTACAGCGGCTCCTCCTCCTCCATCGGCTCCTCCTCGGGCCTGGCGGGGAAAGAAAACGTCACCGGTTAGCGTTTGGGCGCCACAGATGACCTGCTGACCTCCGTGGACCAACATCACCCCCTTCCTTCGCCTTTTTCGGATACAGATTTAAGATTTTATTGATCACTTTTAATTAGACCCTTCTCTAAACCTTCTGAAGCCCAAAACCTACTGGCACATTTGAAAGGTTTGTCATCTTCTATCTGTTCAGAAACTTTGAACTTTCCAGCAGCCCATAAACTAACCATCTCTGACCCGACTTGTCCAAATCTAAGCTTAAAATCGTAATATTTCATCAAAACCACAATATTCTACGTGTCTCATTTAAAAATTTACTAAAAATAAAAGTTGAACATGAATCGGATTCTGTAAAAAACTAAAAATTCTGTGCTTAACTTTATCCTGATTTTATGTCAATTGCTTACTGTGTTTGACTTTACTTCTGTTATTTTGCCTGTTTTCAGAGTGCTGTACAATAAAGTTTTTATTGATAAATCTCCAGTGGATGAATGCTACAGACTTTTTCCAACAATGTCCCTGAGGTTTCCACCAAAGGGATCAATAAAGTTCTATTCTACTTGACTTTAACCAAACCTACAGGTAACAGGAAGTACTCGAAGTAGGTGACAGTAACATAACAAGCACATGAGCGCCTTTACCTCTGATCCATGGCGTTGGTGTTGGCCACCGACAGCGAGGCCATGGCGCTGACGGCCTCGGCCTCCTCCGAGTCTCCTCGTTTGGCCTCCAGCAGAGAGAGGCCGAGCCGAGGCGAGTAGCGATGCACCGAGCGCCAGTATTTACCTGAAAGACGGAGGAGCTGAGTGAACACTTTAAGATTTACCATATGACTGATTTCTTTCACTGGTTGAGTTTTCGGGTAATTTTTCAACATAAAACAATAAAAAAAGTTTCCATTACGACTTTTTTAAAACAGTAGTAGCCTAAAAATCAAACTTAACATTTTGGAGAGCTTGTCTATGAGTTTAAAGTTACAGAATTAAGTGTTAAAACCAGCCAGAACCGAGCCCCTGTGTCGGCGCTATGGGTTTGTTCTTGAACTCACTGTGCGTCTCTATGACTTTCTCCAGCGAGCGGACAGCGTTGGGGTTGGGCCTCTGCTCCAGGACGGCCTTGGGCAGCGGGTCCAGCTGCACGGGACACAAAAACACAGAAAAATGTAAACACACGGAGGGGAAATATTTTCCACAAGAGGTCGGGCTGAAAGACGAGGCACGGCGGAGCTTCATCTCTCAGGCTCCGGACTGATTTTTATTCTTTTTTAACTCCAGTAAGTAACACTGATGAGTAAACATAAAAGCACAACAGTAAAGTGAGCAGCTTCACATCCCTCCACCCACAGACGCTCAAGCATACTTTCTAAAACTGCACTTACATATCAGGAGGCCACATTAGAGCTGCGCTAAACTGAAACCACTCAAGGAAATGTAATACGACTGATGTGTTCTTGGTACTTTTGCCATCAAAATAATGTAATTTAATACATTATATATTACACCTTAATGTTAGACTGACATTTACCACAGTTTCATCTCTCTTCCTGACAATAACTGAGATCAGAGGGAAGAACATGTGTGAAGGTTTTCCTCATGTGAGTGACGCAATTGTATTTCAAAGCAGTTTAAAGCTCCTGTAAATATCTTCAGTTTTAATTTACAACCTGAAAAGTTGTCAGGTGTCGCTTTCTGATTCATCATTTGAGCTATAAACACATAAATCATGTGACCGCGGAGCACCGAAAGCCTTCAAGACAAAGTTTGAAAGCTAAACTTCCACCACTGCCTCCGTATTTGACAAGATTAAATGATATGGGATCAGTAAAATCAGATCCAAAGGACTCAGTGTCTGAACTTCCAGCTTTACAACCAGAGCAACATGCCCTCCTTCGTCCCTTTGATACTCCCCTTTTATTAACATTCAGATCTGGTCTGCTGGCAAAGTGACCTCCCTACCTCCTGGCCGAGCAGGGCGGCCACGCAGGCCTCGGAGGCGTCGCAGATGGCGGTGAGGTCGTGCCCTCCCTCCAGAGCCAGGACCACCCGGCCTCCGGCGAGGGTCATCAGCTGCCTGGTCAGATACCCGAAACCTGAGGAGGAGACGTTCCAGGACGGAGGTGAACGTATGGAAATGAGTCGTGCCACAGAGGCTCAGTCTCATTTACATTTAAACACTTTCACTCTGAGTCCAGCTGTTTGTGTGTCGGCGGCTGGAGATGAGAAGCGGACACTCACATTTGGACGTCAGGGTGTAGCCGCCCAGCGGAGGAGGGTGTCCCTCCACAGCGTCGAAGCCCGACGAGACCAGCACGATGTCCGGAGCGAACTCGTTGGCGATGGGCATCACCACCGTCCTGTGGGAGCAACGAGGGAGTGTGAACAGCCAGACAAGACTCAGAGCAAAGACAAATGATCATCGATTCTATGCAAGCGGCACCTTCACAGCACAACTCCTCGAGGCTTCTCCTGCATTCTGGCTGTTAAAACTAATACTAATCCAGCTTCTCAGTTGCTTTTAGCTGTTTGTTGACCTCATGAGTAGAATATATTTGGGTTTTGAAAGGTTATTTTATTGACCTGAAGCTCAATCAATGAAGAAAAACGACAGTAACGATTAGTTGCAGCCCGTCTAACGACAAAGAAACCGTGTCAGTGTTAAGAAACAACACTGACTGAACGTATGTGAGTAAATCAGTATAACAGACGAAAATTAAACTAAACTGTCTGTAACTCACTCAGACGGCTTCATCCTTGACTGATTGTGGGTCCAACTCCTGTTTTTAACGGCGGCTAATTCAACATCCAACCCAGTGTTTATTTCTGCTCCTGATACTGATTCAGTTTTTTAATGACCATGTGTTACTTTTGTTAAATATGATTTATTTAAATTTTCGTCAAATTTTTGCATTTTCAATTTCACGAAGAGGCCCCGACTGTCCCCATCTTTGCACACGGTTACCATGGTTACGTGTGTTATTCTGGTCTGTGGCTGATCGTCCACGTCCCTCTGCTCTGCAGTGACACAGACGAACTCTTCTCAGTAAATTAAATGGACGCTTCCAAACTCACAACTGCTCTGCCCGCCTAGCATTAGTGCTGCTATGTGTTCTCTCATTCATTCACTCACTAGTTCACTAAACTCTGTCGTCTTCTGGGTTTAGTTTGAGGAAAAAAAAACCATTAACACATTAATGCAACGTTATTTTTTTTAGAGATCATCTATTGCAGTTTGTCTCAGCTGCTTTGTTGCTGCTTCTCGTCATAATTTGTAGATTAATTTAGTTCAGAAGTGTGTTTAATTTGACAAACAGCCACATAACGTTACTGTCAGACACGTTACTGAACATAAGGTTTTTAATGACAAATCTACTGAACGAGAGATGTTATAGTCGGTGGAGGAAAACTGAAGATGCAACTCAGTGAGTCCTCAATGAAAGAGGAAAACATTCACTATAGTTCCCATCTTTTACTTTTTAGTCACGTTTGTTGTGAAAAATAACAACGAATATTTTTCATTGATAAAATCACCACTGATCCAAAACGTCTCCCATTTGATTTGAACAATATCGTCATCATATCCCAAAGGCTCATGTGAACAAACAGAACAAACTAATTCGATTCACCGTCCCCGTGTGGACTGAAGGCAGAGATTAAATAGATGCACTGATGCCACTTTAATGTAATAGACGCTGAACTGTTTGTTCGTCGTTTGGTTGGTAATCAGGTGGAATCAAATCAACTGCGGTACCTGAAGGCAGCCAGGTACTCTGTGTCTCCCATGGGCGGGTCGAGGCCTCCGGTGAAGGCAACGTTGACGTTGAAGCCGACTCCAGCACCGCTGCCCACCTGCAGGGAGAAGCCCGTCACTCATGTTGTATTCACAGCGCAATTATACAGTCAATGTGTGAATTCTCTGTTCCAGATATTGTCGTGCGGTTTCCAAAAAGGAGCAACAAAGAAACTGTTTGGATTCAGAGGGTGAAATGAAAATATCTGGGTCTCAAATGCACAGAACACACAAGCATTAAGTCGCTTTACTTGCATTTGTACTGCAAAAATGAAATACTTAGATGTCCTCTGTTCTGTCTTTGTGTGCAGCCATTTAACCAACACTGATTATTAACAAAGTCGTTATTTGTTGTGCATTTGATGACATCAGTGGCTCTCTATCAATAACAAACATCAAATCATTTCTGGTCCAACACAACTTTAATCTTTTGGTGGGTTTCGACACATAAATTTAGCACATTTTCAACCACTTGTCATCTCTGAAGCATCACTAAGTACAGAGCAATTTATCTATTTTTTTGTGTCCAGCCATTTATCTTTCAAATCACTGACTTCAGTTTATATTTTATAGTGTCAAAAAAAAAGTCCAGGAACTGCCTGGACAGTTGATGTGCCTCAACCTGAAGCAAATTCTTCTGCCAGATAAGTTGGATAACATGAGAAATGCAGTTCCTAATAGAAAAGCAATAAGACATAAGCACGATACATGACCAAAAATAAAAATAAGTCACCTCAAATAAGACTGGAACAGATAAAGTGGTAAGTACAGCACCTGCACTGTATATATGTGTAAATATGTTTTTTTATTTTTTATTTTTTTAAGGTTGATATCTTTTGTACTTTGATATTTATTTATGTATTACCTGTTATGTATCTTGTTATTCTTTATTTTCTGTTTTATTCCTATGATATTTCTGTCTTTATTCCTGGCTGGGAAATTTATATGTAATGAGAAGGAATTTCCCCTCAGGGATAATTAAAGTATTTCTGATTCTGAAAACTGGCAGTGAGTAACGTAAAATCACACATGATAGTTATACTGAAGCTGATGTTGCACAAACTATTCAGAAAAGTAACACTGACACTGATAGAACATTTATATTATTATTATTATTATTATTATTGTGATTCTGGCAACTACAGCGTATTAATCATTATTAGATTACTAAAACTGGTTCAGAAAGACGTCTCCATCACTGTTCATGTGTTACCAGAAGAAATCCAAATTCTTCATCTTTTACATAAACTGAATCCTGTGCCAACACTTTCCCACAATGCACCTGGAGTATTTCCATTCAGGTGCGAGGACCTTTGACGGGTCAGGAGGAGACTCACCTCGTCAGGCGCTCCGCTTCCAGGGAAGAAGTTGCCGTCGTCATAGCGATGGATAGACAGGTAGAGGACGTTGGGGTCGTCGTAGAAGGCTTGCTGGGTGCCGTTGCCATGGTGAACGTCCTGCAGGTAGAAAGCACACAGGATGTACTCTCAACCCTTTCTGCACTGCGCGAGAATAAAAAACACCTCTCTGGTCCGGTTCAGTGCAAACTGCTTTGTCTGGATACTGACCCAGTCCACGATGAGGATCTTGTTGAAGCTGAGTCTCTGCTGCAGCAGTTTGGCTGCGATGGCCACAGAGTTGAAGTAGCAGAAACCCCTGAAACAGCAGCACAACACAAGCTCCTTATGAAAGGCACCACGTTCCTGCTCCGTTTTCATGCTTTTATGGAATATTTTAAACACTTTGTGACGAGTAAATAAAGCGCTCCTCCAGACAGCTGGCAGAATAAAGGCGCTCAGTACTTTATGTGCAAATAAACTCAATGGTTTGTGTAATTTCTACTCCGGAGGAGCCTGTTCCGACGCTGGTATTTGTATATGCATAGATGAAGTGTCTCCAGCTGAGTGTGGTGATGGCTGTGGCCTTACATGGGAGTGCTTTCCTCGGCGTGGTGTCCAGGAGGGCGGACCACAGCGAAACCATTCTGGAAAAACAGGAGTGTGTTAGCCAGCGACAAACCACCGCAAAAAAACATTAGAATCTAGCCAAACACACTCCTGGGGGCGGCTATCAAGTACAGAAATGTGACTATAACAGAGAGATTTGCTGCTCTAACAACAATCCGTGGTTATAACGAGTCGTAGGTCTGAATAGATGCTGATTTTTGAGGTTTACTTTAGATTAGGAGCATCTTGGGGAGATAATGGTGAAATAATGAATCAATAACGTTAATGTTTTCAATTAAAAATGCATAAAGATTGGGATCTGTTAACTCTCTGAATCCCAAAAACCTGCTGGCAAGATTCAAAAGTATTTTATCCTTAAAGACACTCTGAAATTCCAACATTTATTATGGAAAGAAACTATAAAACCATAAAGAATCATCAGATTTTCAACTTTTTATGACAACTAATCATGTCTGACGTGCGTTTCTGTTGGAAAAATTAACCAAATCTAAACTTGAAATTGTGATAAATCGCCTTATTCTGCATAGTTTATTTTAAAATTAGCCAAAAACATAGATGATGGATGAGCAGCTTAACGGTCAGAAAATGGAATGTAGATTTGCTGTAGTGCCTGACTTCTCCACCAGATGGAGCCTCTTACTGTTTATTGAGGTGGAGTTACAGGTGTGTTTGCTGACCTCCCGTAAAACTAGCGCATAAAACTAGCGCACCTCAATGCTAACTGCTAACTGTAATCCAATTGATGAACTCTGATGAAAAGGTGTCTGGTTTAGTCAAGTCTGGTTTAGTCAAGTCTGGTTCAGTCAAGTCTGGTTTAGCGAGGTACCTGAACCTCATGCTAACAACAATGTAAAGTTAGATAATTTTTTTGCTGGTTAAGTTATTATTCTAGGAACAGTGTTGACCTCATTTGTACTTCATATTCCTGATGTAACTGAACTGATTTGAGGCGTGCAAGTGGTTAAAAACTGTTAAAAATTTCCTGCGTTTCTTTCATTTCAGCGATTGTTCGATTACTGATTGGCCAACTATTAGTTTAGGAAATTTCCATCCCTCATCAAGAAACCTACTGTGTTCTGACGACACGTGAGGAAGAGACAGAAAGCGTTTACCTTCAGCTCTCCAGTAGCAACTTTAAAAACGAGCTCCACGACGGAGCCGACAGCGAGACGAGCTGCACTGGAGGAGTGAACCTCGTTCCAAATGGTGTCGCTGTCCACCTGAAAAACAGAGAACCTCATGTTACTGAGCTAACGCCACAAACTGCAGGTTTCTGATCAAACGCTGTGAGCGCCACTCACCCCCACGCCTCCACACGGTAGCCGTACAAACATGGGAGTGATTGAACCTGGACATAAAACGATAGATTAGAGGCTGTTCGTAGACGCTCTAATGCTGAGTTTATGTGCGTTACGACTCACAATCAAGTTTCTGTCGGAGTGGGTTGGTTCCATACAGCAGGACGTGGGCTTCAGAGTGAACCGTCTGCAGCTCCTCCAGAGTGGCCTTCCTCCCACGGATGCACTGCAAACATATAAACACAGCTCTCACATGCAGGTTGCTGCTCTGTGCGCCGCTGAGCGAAGCGATACTTCCACTTACCTCGCACTGCGCTCTGAGCCCGGTCTCCTGCAGCCGAGACCAGATGCTCTGGATGCGACCGGCGTGCTCTGGGTGGCTGTTGGTGTTTCCGCACATGCACTGGTGCTTCTGCATCAGGGAGTCGTACACCAGGCCTACGGGGGAAACACACACCATCAGAGCGCTTGTTGCATCAAATTCGGCGTGAATCGATTGTGAACCTGATCAGATTATGTTTCAGAGTAAAGTTTGAATAGTTGCAGCTATTCCCAGCAAAAGAACAAGGCGCCAGCTTTAATTGCGAAAGCCAGTTTTGTTTTTCGCAAGTTTTACCTCAACTCTCCCCGTGTCTCCAGTGACAGAAACTTCATTCAAAATGTAAAGCCTCCCAGCCTGATATCCACACTCTGCTGCCACTTCTTCCCTGAATTTTCTATGTAGTTTGGAACTGAGCAAAGTAGGCCAAACTAAAAATATCCCCGGCGATGGTGCACGCACGCAAAAAAAAAAAAAAAAACCTGTCACACTGTTCAGCATCCTCGCAGCTAACAAAGACGGGACGACTAAATATGGCTGGCAGGAGCTTCATTCTTTCTTCAAGAATGATTTTCTCCACAGCTTCCTTTGGTATTCTTCTTTCATCCTTCAGAATCAGATGTCTGGGAGGAACAAAGAGTGGGAGAGGAAAGGTTCTGGCAACATTTACTTATCCAGCTCGATTATATCTGCTACCAGATGGAGGCTGGAACCGACACACCACTTTCTGGCCAATTCACCTGCTTTTTGGATGGATTTTTTTTTTTCCTTTTCCTTTTTCCATTCCCCCAGAGCATTATGATGGGAGCGAAAGCCTAAAAACTTCTCAAATAAGTGCCTGAGGCGCACCAGAGGGAGTCTGTTATCATGGCAATAAATACGCCTGGCAGCCTGACAGCAATTTAACCCTCCGAACCACAAAACTCGCCGGCGGGTTTGAAAGGCATGTTGTGTTTCAAAAAGTGCCAAAATTACAGCATTTATCAGAGCCAGAAACCAGTAAAAAGAAAAGGAATCTTCAGATTTTTTAACTTTTGGAGGGTCTTTGAACTACTCGTGGGGTTCCATCAGTGAAATTACAATTAGGGTTGTTTACATGAATGAATTATGGAGCCCTTTTTTATTTCTGTTTTTGGTGTCAGATTCAAACTACACTCCAAAAAGTAAAGAAAACCAATTTACAAAGTCACCCTCCATGAAGATTGAGTAATATTTGGCCTTTTTATTGGAACTCTCTAAACCCCAAAACCCACGGGCCGGTTTGAAATTCAACAATTTAACAGATCAAGAAACTGCAAAAACAGACAGTCCCTGAATTAATTATCGGCAAAGTGTGGCTCGGTCAGGAAAGTTCAACAAATCTAAGCTTAAAATTACATCAAAGTCACTTTATTCTGCACGTTTCAACACAAAATTACAAAGAACTTCAACCAGAGTAACCAGATTATGTCGACAAATTGGTTCTTCTGGGGCTTTTTGGATGATAAACATAAAAAATAAAGAAAATACCTAATTAGTAAACTACCAATAGCATATAGAGCCACAAGTATCTGTAATAACTGTGGGGACGAACATGTTGATTCCACATTTTGTACATTTTCCAAAATAAATATTCATAGAAATGCCACTTTCGATTTAGCTTTTTTATGATTTGTGGCACTTAAACTGTGTCGTAATGCACCAAAGACGTTCATGAGTTTCTGAGTCATGGTTGTTCTGTTTCCATAAAGGTGCAGGACTTGATATTGCAAAGAAAAATGAGCCAACAGTGAGTAAAAATATGTGAAAACGCTCTGAAGGACTAAGTTCAAAAGGTCAAATTGCTTTTTAAAATCCACTTTTTATTGCTATGTATGCTTTCTATGGCTTTATTATTTGTATTTTTTATTTATTATCTGCATCTTTTGTCTTCTTGTTTCTACTTTGTCCTACTTTTATCCAAATTATGTGGCATTCTGTTTGTCTTTGTTGTTATTTTGCAGTTAAAAATGTGAAACGAGGAAGAAAAACTGCTTGGAGTTTGGATAGTTTAGCACAATTATGATGTAAAAAACTATGAGGGGAATAAAGACAGGAGGAAAGCCGGCCGGCGGTGCTGACCTGTGGTGAACCGAGGCTTGACGGGAGGATCTGGCGCCGGGACGCTGATGGGGAAGGACGAGGCCGAGGCCGGAGACGACTGCGCCCTGGAGAGGGGGCGGTGTCCCGGGAAGGAGATCGACAAGCCGGCGGCCTCCATGGACGCCTGGTAGTTTCTCAGCTGATGAATCCGCTGCTGCTCTAACAACAGGGCCTGCTGCTTACGGGAAACAAAAAACACGAGCGGAAAGGATGAATTGGACGGCTGTCGCGCTGAGCTGCTGTGTGAGAAACGTAAATGCATGAAGGGGGCTGAAGGGAAGAAAAACAGAAGACATGTTTCATACTGCAAGTGCAACTCGTGGCCAAAAGATGGCAGCCAAAACAAATGCTGGAACTTTGATTTCCCCCTTTAATCAACAGAGATGCCATGGGAGCAATGTTTTCATGATCTAAACTGCATTTCTGTGTTGTGGAGCTTCTCTCAGACTTCCCCAGGAACACCTACAGCTCTTTAGCGCCAAGTCGGGCACCAATCAATTCTGTGAAACTTCCTATCGATTCCTTCTGCCGATGCTGCTGTAAACTAGGCCGGATGTCTCACTTGTACCGGGCGTTTCGGGCTCCCTACCTGTCTGAAGAGCAGCTCCTGCTCCGCCTGCCGCTCCCGGTGCTGCTGCAGCGCCTCCTCCTGCAGCTCCTGCGGGTCGGGCGGCTCCTGCTTGATGGTGACCCCCGGCGGCAGGGCCCCGCCGTCCTGGTGCTCCCTCAGCTCCTCCTCCGTCTCCTCGGGGTGGCTCTGGTGCTGGCGGGGCGACTCGCTGGGCTTGGCCATCATCTGCGGGTCACAGAGAGGGACGATGATGATGCTACGACGTGACGTTTTGTTTTTTTTTTCACAATGAAACAGCAGGATGTGACAAATCCCATCCAAACGTGAGAGGCTGCATTCAGACGAGCGCTTTCTTCTGAATCAGAATCCTGGCAAATCACTCCTTTCTCTGGAGCATTCTTCCTTTAACAAGCTTAATTTGGATTACTCAGTCAGATTGGTGTCTCTCTCATTTCAAACCTATCCGTTCTAATTGAATGTGAGTGGCCGCTCTGCCGACTGTACTCGAGGGCGAAATGTGTCTCGTTGAACAGAGACATTCCACGCTCCCCGTTGTGCTGCTTTTCATCGACTCATTCTGGGGGCCTGCCGCTAACCGAGCGGTGATTCAGTCGTCTGCTCATTCACTATCGCTGACATGAGCCATTCAAACGGGCCGCTCGCCTCCACATTGTGTGTTTACGCTGCGAGGAGGAGTGTTTGCTGGAAGTCTCCGGAGCGGGGCTGTACAGGTGTGTGCGTCGGAGGAGGAGGAGGAGGATGGGGTGGTGGTGGTGTACGAGTTCCCAGAGCGGCGAGCCTCTGGGTCCTCTGGCCCCCAGCCAGGGGACAGCATTGACGTCAGAGCATTCACCAGCTCCCATTCAGCCCCTCCTCCCTCAGCGCTGCAGCTCTTGTCTTCTTTGCGACCAAACAGACGTCTCTTTAGCCCATTTTTCACCTCCGGCCCCGACCCCCGCTGCCCCCCCTTTGCTCTACTTTCCCAGAAACCTCCTTTTTATCTGGTTCAAGCTGATGTCCTTCCTTTCATTGCGGATCACAAGTGCGGCAGCAGACAAGTTCAAGCACAGAACCAGTCACAAGTTAGTGAATGTGAAGGACTGCAGCTCTGCCTCATCTTCATTAGTGGAAAATTATCACAGGGCATTAACTTTTTTGATATGTTTTCAATGGATTTGAAGACTTTCCTCTCAAAAAGTTTCAAGGAAATCAAAACTATGCTTCCTGGAAAGAAATACTGTTAAAATGTCCTTAGGTTTTCCAGCTCCGAAGTTAATTTAAGGTCAATTTTTGATGCAGCACCAAATCACATTTTAATACGACAGAACTAAGTTGTTTCTATTCACAGCTGAAATTTAGTTAGAATTGAGTGAACATTAGTGGAGACATTAATCTTTGAAAATGAATTTTTTTTTGTTTTGATGATAAATTATAGATATTTTAATTTCTGTTAAAAAAATAAATAAAAAATCTGTATAAATTGACACAATAATAAAAAAAGAGGACCTTGCTGAGTATAAAATGGTCTTTCTTGTTAAAAATGAGTTTGCATTCATGCAGAAACAAAATAATGGATGAGTTTTCTTTTTAATTTACACACTCTGGTTTTGCGCTCAGCTGCTGCAGCCTAATCCTGGTTTAATAAACTTCAGGTAACTGTGATGCAGAACTGAGATTTCAAAGTTCTTGTTTCACACTATGTGGAGCTAAAGCAGCTGCACTGAAGTGATCTTAGCTTGTTGAATTTATCATAATGTGCACAAAAGAGATCCGCTTTAATGTCTAGTTGTCATAATTATCCACCTTTATCCAAACTAGTGACATGATTGTAAGTGTCAGGTTTGTGAGAGGTTCAGTTAAAAAAAAAACAGCCAAATCCTGTGAAAAATAAACAGTTGATGAGGTTTTAGAGATGCTTTAACAGAACCGCTGAAGTTGTCAAATTGAACGCAGAGGGCCCATTTTCAACGATTCACAACTCAAAAAGTATTTGGAGTAGAGCCGTGGTGTTTTGGAAGATTCTGTGGTTTAGGTGGAAGTTTTTGCAGAAAATCCACGACCTCAACTGGGAGGTCCTGGGTGGGACGGCATGGGATGACCCCTTTATCAGCTTATTTGTTAATGTGCTCAGAGACTTTCAGACGTAATTTTTGTTCATATTTCAAATCACCCGTCATCAGAGAGTATTTAATCTACTTGTCCACTATTAGAGGAAATATGTGGCTTCAAGTGTGAGTCATATAGAAGTTCATTTGGTGTCTTATCATTATTTAGCAGCCATCAGATGCGAGTCCTCAAGTCAGGGCACAGTAAAAGCTTAACTAAGGTTGATCCTGTGAACCCAGCAAAACATGCCAATGACTAGAAAGGCACGATGTCTTAAAAAAAACAACATAAAAATCACCCAAATGATGCCATTTAGCAGAGCTGGACACTAAAAACACAAAACAATGGTTGGATTCTCAGGTGGTCTTTAAACTACTCATCTGTGACCTGACATGCTCCTCCAACAAATCAAAGTTAAACAATCAGGATATTTCGTTAAAATCACTCTATTCTACACGTCTTTAAAACCGTCTGTGCTCCTCGATGCAACCTTGACAGTAACTGAGCTGCAACCAGCAGCTATGTGACAAAAATTCAAAGACTTCTCAGCCGAACTGGGCCAAAGTTCAACTTTCTTCTTTTCTTTTTAGAGCATTAAAGCTGCACAGAAGACGTTGTTCTTTGGTTCTCTCTGCTTCCAGTCATGGTTGGAAAACTCAGGTCGAGCATCGAGATCTGAGTTAGAACCAGGAGTCAGATTTTAATGGAATCATTCAGAACGTTTAATGTCGATTCTGTGAATAAAGAATCTGAATTGTTAAGACACCCAGAGCCGGGACAGCTGCTTCCCTGTTTGAATAAGCTGCAGCTCCACATGAGAGCGCTGAATCTTCTCAATAAACACATTTCCTAAAATGTCGAACTGTTCCTTTAAATCTGTGACAAAGAAACAGGGCAGAGCGTCTCCACACTGAGTCTGGAAACCAAAACGGATTCAGTTGTGTAGAATTTACAGTGACAGGAACGTAGAAAAGCAGCAAAACCTTCACGCAAAAGGACAGAAAACGAAGAAGGTTTTTCATTTTTGCTTGATCAATGAAGCGAGCAATTAACTGGCACCACTACTTACATTAATGAAACTGAACAAAAACCGCTCTCTCCCCATCCTGCACTTAGAATAACTTGACAGAATAAAGGGGGCTGATTTTCCTTTCTGTCCTGACAAAACCGCAGAAGCCGTCCTTGGCGCGCCGGCGGCTGTTTCTCGAGGTGTTTGTGTGAAAAGCTGCCACTCGAGAGCTCTGAAACATATGGAGGGAGTGAGACGGAGCCGAGCGGGGGAGGCGGAGGAGGAGGAGAGGAAATCCCTTGTTTCATCCACCCACCTCTCCTCTAGCGAGTACTCTGCCTGAATAGGTAAAGCCATCCAGAGCGCCGGCTGCTGCTGCTCGCTTCCTCCCTGCCCATATAAGGCGCGGGCTTCCGCTCGGGTTGCCATGGCAGCGCACAGTTACCTCGCAGCCCGTGGCAACTGTCTCGGCCACAGTCACAGAGACGTGGATGCAAACATTCACACACTGCTATACATGTTAACCCATACCTGCCTCCGCCTACTCACAAACAAAAATACTACAGAGGCAGAAAGAAAAGGGCAGAATAAAGTCAATAACTTCACTCGCATCGACAGCGGACACGTGATTGGCTGAGCTGCTGCCTACGCAAACTACTACAGCGAGCTGCTGGCCCTCTGCAGCTACAGCCCTAATTAATCATCAGTTTATTTGAACGTGATGCTGGATCCACGGCCTCTTCCTTCACCTGCCTTCGTCGGCAACAACGGTAATGATGAAAACACGCACGGCTTGTGGAATAACAAACAGCTTCACTGGCATTCAAACGCATCCACAGACGTAGTAAAACACCGTCTCTGATCACAGTTCAGTGCCTAAATAGTTTTTTTTGCTTTTATCCTCTGAACTTCTGAAACTGCCAGCAGGAAATGACAACTTTACTCCGTTTATCAGAGCCAGAAAGTGTAAAAAACAGAGCTGGTTTTCAACTTTCCGACGGTCCTTGAACTACTCATCTGTGACCTACGGTTCCATTCAGGAAAGCGTAAATAGTCTGAGCTTAAAATCATGACATTTAAATCAAGTTCCACTTAAATGTTTGCTAAAAATGAGCCGTTTCTCGCCCCTAGGTTCTGTAAAAAATAAAAAATTCTTCACGCCTGGTCACAACTGTGAAGTTATTAAAGGCTCAGCTGTGGTAAACAGTCACATGACCAAAATTGAGGAACTTTAAACTGCAGGTTATGTTCACACAGAGGAGACGGACTTCTTAATGATTAATGGCGTTTTGACTGAGCCACACCGCACAGAAGACATTTCCGAGCTCTCTCTACTTCTAACCGTGTGTGTTTAACATGTTGATTCCAGGTTTTGTCAGTTTTCCAAAATAAATATTCATAGAAACGCCACTTGTGATTCAGGTTTTTTATGATTTACGGCACTTTAACTGTGTCGTAATGCACAAAAGACATTTCTTAGCTTCTGAATCACGGCTGTTCTGTTTCCATAGCGGTGCAGGACTTTATATTCCAGTGAAAAATGATCCCAGAGTGAGTTAAAAGTGTGACGGGAGCAAATGAAAAATGCCCAGAAACAGCTTCAGGGTTTCGAGGGTTAAGTGGCTCTGCTCTGGTCTCCAGTCTTTACCTTGTTGAGGTGCAGCTGCTGCTGCTGGAACTGCTGCTTGTGCTTCTCCAGGAACTGCTGGTGCTGCTGCTGGACCACCAGCTGCTGCAGGGCCAGGGCCTGGGCATGAGCCTGGGCAGCGCTCCCCTGGGGCAGCGGGGCCGACTGGGTCCTCCCCAGGGGCCGGTGCTGCCGCTGCAGCTTGGCCATGGACGCTGCCGACGGCATGGACAGGCCGCTCACACCTGGGACGCACACACAAGGAGACTTTATTACATAAGGCAGAACCCGGCAGCACAGAGCAGATAACAGGAGTCGCTTTGATCCGACACGTCTCCAGAGAGATCGCCAATATCTTGTAAGTTGGATGAAACGAGACGTTAACTGGAGTCGGTTAAGCCCAAAGATGGCAGACGAACAGCAGCGCTGCAGCTCATGTGGCTGTTTAGGAAAGCTGAGGAGAATTGTGTTTTGATGATGATGATGTGTCCTCCCGCCACTCTAAGCACCTGAAACTATTTAGACTGGAGTGTCACGATGATACATGGCTGTGTGGCTGCCGGCTCTATTTTGGTCGCTGGCTCGGGGGAAATATGACGGCATTTCCAGAGCAGCCGCCGTGTTTTTCCAAATTATAAGAAAAAAAAAAAAATCACGAGCAGATTTAGAAAAATCAAATGAGAAAAAAACCTCACGTTGTCCTCGTGAGGCCTCGAATAACTTTTTAAGAGGTCGTTGTGAGGCTTTCCAGACCACAATGAGCGGAGCGAAAGCACCTGAAGAAAATCCTGGACCCTGAGTGTAAACTGCACTGATGAGAGTAGAAGCGAAATCCCTCAAATCTAAAATAAATATACATCAAGACGCAGGTTCCCGACTGCGCTCTTATTGGTGTTGGACCTGAGATTAGTTAGCAGATGTATTTGTGAACCAAATGAAAACAACCATCTGTGCTGCCATGCTGCGATTCTTCCATTGTGATGATACGAACCGAACAAAGTGGCCCATTTGCAGCGAGAGAAGTAATAAAACAGACCCTGGACGAGGCTGTTAAATGATCTGAGAAGCTTGATTAGTGTGCAAAATATCAGAGAAAGTGCCTACCACAGTGTTTTCAAATCGTTTCGAGAAGAAGAAAAAAGAAAAACGTCTGCTGATGTGTAGCTACCAGACGGCATGGAGGAGCTGATATGATATTTTTGACGGAGGAAAACAAAAAAACTAGTGACTGAAGTGAAAAGTAATGCCTCACATCTGGGCTGTAACAATCCCCTCTCTGCTCTCCGATATGCGCGTGGGCGAGCGCGCGTCCTTGGCCGTATGGTTTTTGTGCGTCCGTACGTGCGTCATTGCTCATTCGCCGCCGATGTCCCGCTGAAAATAGCAGCGAAGTGCTAGTCAATGAATGGGGCTGATGGGAAAAGGGCACACAATGCACCCATGTCAGAGTCTCGTAGCATACGCTGACATATGAAAGGAGCTCATTAGTTTGAGCTAATGAATGGACGTCAGTCAGTGTGAGGGGGAGTATCGTGAACACACATCTCTGTCAGAGTGGTGATGCGGGTTTTTTTTTTGTGCGTTTCAGAGGCGTTTGCTGATTTGCCGTTTCCTCTCATTACGAGCAACGCCACGAACACGAACGCAGCAGTTTTTACTAAGATTTGTACAGCAACAAAGCACGAGCATCTGAATTTGAGCCACAACAATTAGTCGATTAATCAATTAGTCGTCGAATATCACATGAATCGTCAACTATTTTGATAATTGAGTAATTTTAGAAGGAAAATTCTCTGATTCCAGCTTCTTGAATGTGATTATTTTTGTTTTCTTTCTTCCTCTATGACATGAAACTATTATCTTGGGCCTTTTTAAACTCTTTTACCCTTTTTCTAACATTTTTTATACCATAAAACCAACTAATTAATCAAGAAAATAATAAACAGATATTGAAAATAATCTTTCGTTTGCTGATCAAAACATCCTTAAAAAGTAAACCAGCTTATTATGCAGCATTATCAACTTCAGAATAACGTATTTGATAATACTGGATTCTTATTACTGAAGCATTTATGTGTGAGCAGAAAACTGTGAAACTGATTTGACCTGCTGTGTAGTTCTAAGTGTCCTCCTGCATCAGGGATCAACAAGTTTTCACCTCAATCCAACAATAAGGCGTCACCGCGGGACTTCCAACAATAACAGGCGACCTAATTAATATATTGAGTCTATTTTGTGTCCTAAAACATGCCAGTGGGATTAAAAAGGTGTGCCATTTCTTTATTTTTTGTTTTAAAGTCAGCATTTATCAGAACTAGAATGTCGTATTGTCAGATTCTTAAATATCTGATCTCTGACTTTGTTTCTTTTCTGACAAAATTGATCAAATCTAAGCTTAAAATCATGACATTTATTCAAAACCAATAAAATATATCTGTGCACTTCAAAATGTAAGTCTTTCTTCTAACCAGAATCTGTATTATTTGTATTTCTCGACGCAGTCATGTGGCAAAAATTCAGGCACTTCTCAGCTGAACTGCAGGTTGTGCTTAATCTGAATATGTAAAGTAACTCCAGTGCTTTAAGGTATGAAATAAATATAGAATAAAAAGCACCATATGTGCCTCTGAATTGTAGCAGAGTGGAAGTATAAAGCAGCAGAACATGAAAAGGTTCAA